ACGTTATTATTTCTTTTGGCATTACAGCTACATTTCATCTGTCAGCACTGAGCGCTGCAGGAACACACAGGGACAGATGGGCCTGGGCTCTTCTTCCTATCCAAACAAACACAGGCACAACCAGGGAAAGCAGCTGCTGCAAGGTCACACTCTGGGGCAAAGTTCTGATTTCCCACCTAAATTTCACCTGCTCAGTAAACCAGTTCTTCTGCAATGAATGGCAACAGGATGAGTTAAAACAGTGTTCAGGTGTCTAAAGTTAAGTGGAGCAATTCCCAAGACCCTGAAAGTGATTCCCATCGCCTGATGCGTGCATGGTTGTGGTTCAGGATGGGAGCTCTTCAGTGTAACGGGCTATTTCCACCCTTGTGGCTTGGGCTGTCATGGCACACACTGCCATCATGTGGACATCCATAGCATCAAGCCAACCGTGCAGATGCCCTTTGATACCCAACGTAGTTTAGCCAGTCCGCATGTCCAGGAGGTGAAGCCAAGCCTCTTCTCACCCTGCCAACCTCTCTGGCTATCAGGAGACCCTTGTAGCTGCTTTTTCATGCTGAGATCTTCTTCAGGAGGCTCCATACCTCAGTCAGGATGCCCTGGAGCAACAGGGCTGTGGGTTCTCCTGGCACTAAGCAGACTTTCTGGCCTTGTCCCAATCCCTAATGATGATTAGACCTGTACTGTCCCCTTTCGCTTTTCTCCACTTGCATTTCTGTGGCCATTGCCCTTTTCCTTTTGGAATTCCATGCTTTCTGCCCTGGCAAACCCCTTGAGTTATCTTCCCCAGACTGTGCTAAGTGTCAGACAGAATGTTCATGGCCCCTCTTGCCATGAAGCCTCTGAAATACATGAGAAAGGCATTTCTATCCCCTCCACCAGTGAACCACAAAACGCAGAGGCTGAAGGCTGGATTAGGCACCCACTTTTGCTATTCCCCAAGATCAGATTCTTGCTCCATACCCCGATAAATGTGGATTTACCCACGTTATCCCCTATGTTCCTTTCCTATCAGCTCAACACTTGACATCTCGTTTGATTTTCAAGACAACCCATGTCCCCTTGACTCCATGCTCAACAGTTGTTGCTGGTTATTGAATAACTACCGAAGAGACAGATGGGTACAAATCCACGCTGCTCAGTAACCCACGGTCAAACCCATTGTCCAGGGACTTTGTCACTAGTGAGAATTTGTCTGTTGTTACAGAAGTTTCATCTGAGACAAAGCCAGAATCCAATGGCCTGACCCCTCCACCTCTGGGTCTTTATAGGTGACTGCTGAAAGGTGCTGCCCAGTGCCAGACCAGAAGGTCTGGTAATAGGGTAGGTGCCACAAGACACCCCAGAAGAGCTCCACTGGCCCTGACCAAAGGCTTACACTCAAACTCTGTTCTCCTTATGTAGCCCCTGTAAGGCACCCAACTACATGACATTGCTGGATTTATGAGCATGCTACAGGTCTTCACATGATGGACGCACAGCAGCAATCCCACCTTCCAGTGTCCTCAGTCTCATGGAGCCCCCCTTCCAGTCCCTCCCATCCATGGACACAGGCAAGGCCAGACAAGAGTCAAGTTGTTTATGGACTGCATCCTAGAGGATAGTCTATGAAAGAGCCTAATCACTATCTTAGAGCTGGTTGAGAGGATAAAAGCCTGGTGTAGGGACAGCTTTGGGGCAGAGTCCATGCAGCACTGGGAATGGGGAGTGGGTCTGTCATAGGATACAACACTTGAACCTAAATTCAAGGTTAATCCCAAGCATCACAGTAGACTTGTCCAAAGTCTGTGACCTCACTTGATAACAAGAGAAAGCACATGGTAACACTGCTCTTCTAACACTCTTCACCTGCCCAATCTAGCTTAGCCTCACATTTTGAAAGCACCTTGCAGAGCCACAAATCTGGCTCAGACAGCCCAAAAGTGGCTCTTTGTTCCGCATGTTCGTCCTTCTCCCACTCCTCAGATAGGCAAGAAGCATCAGCAGCCTCCCAGACTGCAACCCACACCCATTCCAGCCAACCGGCCAGCTAGCCAGCCTGCACTGCCTCCTCTCCTGATGGGAAGCCCGTTAATCATGGTGCTGCAGGACAGGTGAAGGATCATAAATAGATCTAGATGTAGTAGGTGTGTCTCCTACATCTTCCATAGCCATGAGGTGCATGGAGTCAGGTGCTCCTCCTAAGGAGTGTGAAGTTGTTATGACAGATTGGGTCCCTCTTGCTCTGAGTGCAGCTAAAACCTTCTCTAAGAAATGCCCAACCCAACAGACTGCAGCCTTCAGCCTCCTAAAGAGCAACCTTTAATTCCTTGAACTTCTGTACAGACCCAGCTGGCTCAGCATAACGAGATATAATTAGCATCATGGGGATGGCCAAGTGTGTGAAAAGCTAATGCTCTTCAGTGCCTGCCAGGGCTGTTCTCCAAGGCAACACAAGGAGAGCCGGTGTGTTCTTTTAAACTGCCAGTGGAAGTGTCTGTAATGACTTACCAGGCTCTGGCACAAAGGACGAAACATGTCAGCAACTGATGGAGAGAAAGCAGGATGACAAATGCCAGCCAGGTAATACAGCTCTTCCTTTCTCTTCTTCCCAGCCTGAGGAACCAGAGGCACCATCTTAATGGAAGTTACATGGGTCCAGTTCAAGGGACAGACACATGGTGGAGATGAAAATGTGCTAGGCCAGGGCTCAAACAGCCACAGCATCCAAGTCTGGGGAGACAAGAGATCTTCAGCCGTTGTCATTAGCTCTTTCCAATGGATCTTCCTGCCATGCTAACAAAAGCCCAGTTCCATGTGGACTGCTGTAGTGTTGACTGGGTCACTCATCACAGCTGAGGAGCCCATGCAATCACTATTTCTATGGAAATACTGAAGAAACTTGGTCTTCATATTGGCAGACTAGCAAAAGGGTACTTGCAGCCAAGGAACAGGCTAAGAGGAGATCATAGAGTTGATGTTTTCAAGAGAAAAGAGCGTTTCTAGAGCAGTCTTCTACTACCAGCATGCAGAAGCAATGGACAGAGCCAATCTTCAGCCCAAACCTTAGCATGCACAATAGGAGGTAGCTGTTAGCCAGCTGACATGCTGAAGTGCCCTGGATGCCAACCTCACAATGCAATCCCAGAAGCAAATGAGGAGCTCTGGAAACATCGTCACTGCTGGAGCTGGAGGCCACTGTTAGAAACTGCCACTTCCAACTCATCATACCTGAGCATTTGCAACGTATCTTATCACCACTGAGAGCTAGGTGATGATGCATGCGACAGAGACCATGTACCACACTAGCTAATGTCAGCAGGGGTATCAGTGTTCAGCCAGAAAATCTACAGCTGAACGCCAAAGAGCAGACAGAAGCAGTGGGATGCACAGTCACACATCCGTCCAAAGGACAACTAAGGTGAAGCCACCTGAACCCATAGGGCCCCTCTGAGATCCATTCAGCTGGGAGGATCTGTCTTTGTATGGCACTGAGCACACTCTAGCTGTGTAGCAGGGAGGACAAATCCTCTCCCTTGCAAGGAGGTAATGTGGTAATGGGTTCAAACTTAAAGAGGGGAAGTTTAGATTGGATATAAGGAGGAAATTCTTTCCTGTAAGGGTGGTGAGGCACTGGAATGGGTTGCCCAAGGAAGTTGTGAATGCTCCATCCCTGGCAGTGTTCAAGACCAGGTTGGACAGAGCCTTGGGTGACATGGTTTAGTGTGAGTTGCCCCTGCCCATGGCAGGGGGGGTTGGAACTTGATGATCTTAAGGCCCTTTCCAACCCTAACTATTCTATGATTCCATGATTCTATGACCCATAGGTAACATTGCAGTGCCTGTGCTGGACAGAGGGTCAGGTTCAGTCCTCCTGCTCTGTGTATAATTTACTCTTCCATGAAGAGAATAAAAAGTCATGAATTAGGATGCACATTTCAAAAGGGGAATCTGCACACACATGAAACAAAACTGTCCCAAATGGTGGGTTATACCGTGAGCTCCCAAGAGGGGTTGAGAGCTTGGAGAAGTTGCATGTAGAGATTTAGGTGAAAAGGGAGTTTCACAGCACTTCTTCCTGAGGAGTGCCCTCAGCATGTCTGCAGTCTATTGATTCTTCTCTTCCTTAAAGAGCACAGGATCAGCACAGCTTATGCAGGTGAGCACCTTCCCATGCTACATGCAGACTGGCAATGAGTAATGCATCGACAATCCCTCACATGTGTTTGTAGCAGCCAGACGCTTTAAATCTCCCTTAGCCTGAAATATAAATGGTACCATCTGTACCTACACTTTGTCTTTGTGATCATTGATTAATGACTAGGCCACAAGCCAGCTAAGGGGAAAGTTACTTCACTAACTTTCAGACATGTTTGTGGAGTCAGATTATGCCCAGACAGTGGCTCTCAATCTTGCTGCAGCTTATTTTACTGCTCTGATCTCCCTCTCCTTGCATTACATATTGACGATGCTAATTCCTCTGGGTACCAGTTTAGTTTCCTGGCTTGTCTATGGTATGACTTCTTGGAAGAACAGTGCCATGGTCCCTTGTGTTATGTCCATTCTCTTGATTATACATAAAGTGTTGTGTGATGCTGCAGACACTCAGAGCACTGCTTTTACAGCAGAAGGCACTGGACCCATTCAGCCCATGTGTTGGGCAGAGGTAGCCAGTTTGTTCCCCACTTAACATAGGCAGATGAACAGCTTCCAGACCTGGACTGGCTGAAGATATCATGGAGCTCAGCTAGAACCTGAGCCTGGCTGCCTCTCACCTTGCTCCTCCTATGGCTTTGTCCCCATGGGCATGGGTAACTGTGAGTGCTTCCACTCACTCCTGCGATGTATGGGACTTCAAAGAAAGTTGGGAATATGTGCAGGTTGTTTGTTAACAAACTGCCTCCATCCGCAGGTTGCTGGAATCGGGTCAAAGGGTGAATTGGGAGCAGCAGGCAATCGGCCAAGCTGACACAGTGTTTACCATGGTGTTCCTGCCACTATAAATTGCTGACAGCACCACTTCATCAGGCTCAGCTCCAGCAGAGCAGGAGGGAGAGGTTTTTACCTGCACCGAGCTCCCCATCAGGTGCAGGAGCAGGAGGAACAGAGGAGAAGGCAGTGTCAGGCATCCCAGACACAGGTGCAGCATGGCATCTCTGCTGGACAACATAGCCAGACCTTCTGCTGTCATTCTGCAGCTCTCTGTGGTGCTTGGTGTAGTCTTTGTGCTGCTGAAGGTGGCCCAATTCTACCAGAAGAGGAAGAAACTCATCAAAGCTCTGGAAGTATTCCCTGGTCCCCCGAAACACTGGCTCTATGGCCACAATCACCTGGTAAGGAGGGAGCTGGGCTCAGGCAGGGTGGGTTTGTCCCAAAATCTGGGCAAGGTATCAGGATCAGAGGAAGCACTGGGTGGGGTGTGTATGTACCCTGCTCATCTCCCTTCCTGCAGGAGAGAACCTCAGCACAGAGACCAATGCTTCTGCAGGGCAGGCAGAGAAGGGTGCCTGGATACACGATAGGCACCATTTGGTAAATAACAGAGTCATGTTGTTTTCAATCATGTGCTTAAACATGGAGTTAGGCAATTTCTGGGGTTTTCATGATGTTTTTTAAATGTAAGCAACCATAAAATGTCTCTCTTCTGCATTAAACCTTCAACCAGTAAGAGTCTCCCTCTACAGCCACTGAAGAAGAGGCATTTTGTTGCAGCCATTTTCACCCTTCTATAGTGAAGATACTTTTGCATTCCCATCACATGGGCACTTTGCACTGCTGAACTTAGAGAACAGGGATGTATCCTGGCATTGCCTACGCCAGCATAGCTCCTGAGAGCAACACCAAACCCAGGCCATCCTAACACAGCCCAGCTGCAGCCAGGCCACAGCCAGGGACTCTCCATGGAGCCTCCTGGTGCTGCAGGGACATGGCATCTCAGTCAGCTTTGCCACCTATACACAGTCCCCTCGCAATGCCCAGTGTCTCCTTATCTGCAGTATGGAAAGCTCCCATGTTCAAGTCCACCTATTCTGTCTCCATTTCCAGGAAAGGATGTCTTGTATGTGCTTCCCATGAGAGGGCAAGTTTAGCCTCTGATCTCCCTGACACATTCCTCTTCCGCTACCTGAATTCAGTCCCTGCTTAATTGTCATTGCAGATAACTACTGAAAACATATTAAATCAGTTATTGTTATGGGGCAATGAATATCCCTATGCCTTTCCAAGATGGTTTGGACCAGTCCTGCCTACTCTAATAGTCCACCATCCTGACTATGCCAAAGTCATAGTTAGCCAAACAGGTAAGTCTCTACATCTGGTTTTGGGAAGCCATGTCCTTGTCACTTAGTTACTGAGAAAATAATGGGAAAGTTGCCTGGAATCATCCCCTCTGCTGGCTTCCTTCATGGATATTGCAGTTCCCCTTCTTCTCCCCCTCTCAAGCTCCCAAACTGCCCCCGTTTTCATGGAGCAGTTTGTATTCTTGTGCAAAACAGTGACCAGGTGCCTGTTCCGCCCAGTTCACTGTCTCTATCATCACTGGTCTTACTGTCTTCTGTGGCGTCTATGACCACAATAGATGTTCTTCCCAGTAAACCCAATAAAACAGGTGAGCTGATATGCACATGGCTCTCAGAAGACATCTTAAGTCTTCTCCTCTCCTCCTTTCTATGGAGCATGATGCGTGTGAGTGGTACATACGTGGGCATCACCAATAACTCCCATCCGTTGTTCTCAAATTTGAGATTTGCCATAGCCATTTCTTTTCCACACACATTTTTCCTTGTACCTTTCTCTGGTTTTCTCAAGTCCACTGAAGTCATATTTGTAGAAGAGATCTTTTAAACTCGGCCTCTAGTGGTATTTTACACAATTAAATTAGACTAATTCTGCATTGTGATTTAGGGGACAAACTCCAGTGTAAATTTATCCTGATTTTTCTTTTTTGCTATGCTGAATTCATCAGCCATTCATAATGTTCTGGTATCTGATTTGTCTTACAGAACACAAACCCAGTGTACCCTACAAATTCTTAACTCCCTGGATTGGTAAGTCATCCTTTATCCATTATCCCTTTCATCCACATTGCACATTTCAGCAGATTATTTCTTGTTTTCCTTTATTTTGCTTTCTTCCATTCGAAAACCAGAGCTTGCAAATGAGAGGCTTTGTTTGAATGTGAACATTACTACTGGTTTTGCCCATCTAATTGTGGAGCACATCAGGCAGCTTTGCCTTAGATCACACCCCAAAACTTCAGTTTGCTCAGGGACTGAATGCTACCATAGATAACCAGGGGGATACACACCAAGAACAGAAAACCCACCTGAGAAAACAAGTGCTGTGCCTCTGCCATCATGGACCTGGTTTCAGGGTAGATTGGGTGTGCACTGCTGGTTGCAGTGGGCATGCTTCTTCTCCATCCAAACAGCGCTGCTGTGAACGGCCTCAGAGGCTGAAGAAAGGCTCCATCACCATCTCTTCCTTCTCCCACATCCTGCACATTAGTCTGTGCTTGCCCAAAAGCAGCAGTAAGGCTGCCAGCACGGTGACCAATGTCTGGAGGAGCTGATTGCACCTTTGCTTCTGTTTCCCCAGGGGAGGGACTGTTGATTTTGGAGGGAGCCAAATGGTTCCAGCATCGGAAGCTGATCACCCCGGCTTTTCATTATGATGCGCTGAAAACTTATGTGACCCTGATGTCAGACTCAGTCAAAGTGATGCTGGTAAGAATCACCACTCCTGCCACTTCTACCTTTCAGCTGTGCATCAGGGAAAATAGTCAGGTCTAGGAATAACCGAGGGAGACAGACAGGGCTCAGATGGCTCCTAGTTTGGAAGTTCTGAAATTGCTCTCCTCACCTCCCTCTGGCCCTTCTACTTGTTCTTTCTTTCTTCAATCTGCCTTCCAATAAAATCAGCCACTGGTAGAACATCCTTTCCTAGCCCAGTAATGGTAAACCTTGAACAAGAAATGCACAGAAGGGTTTGATTAGATTTCACAGAGTAAACTGAACTAGGGCCTCAGCTGGCAGATAAGAGAGTAATTAGCAGTGTGGATCTGGGAAGAGAAAATGGAAAATAGAACCTGATTCTAGATAGTGGTCTGTCCTTCCTTACCCCTGCCTCCACCACTAGGATAAATGGGAAAAGAAGAACACAGACAGGAAGTCGGTGGAGCTCTTTCAAGACGTCAGCTTGATGACACTAGACAGCATCATGAAGTGTGCCTTCAGTTATAATGCCAACTGCCAGACTGAGAGGTCAGCGCTTCAACTTCCAAACGCTGTGTAAACAAGCGCTCCTGTTTCCCCACTCTGCCTGCTAACACCAGCTTTAACCTTGACCTCCCTACAGCAACTCAGACTATTATATCAGGGCTGTTTATGACCTGAGCTACCTCCTGAGCAATAGAATCCAGAATTTTTCTTACAAGGATGTCTTCTATAACTTGACTCGCCAAGGCAGGGAGTTTCAGGATGCCTGCAAGCGGGCCCATACCCACACAGGTATCTCTTCCCTTCACTCCAGCCCTATTTAGGTATCTTCCCCCCCCCCTTCTCCCCAGCCCTGTTTCCTAGCTGAACCTTGCCCCCACTTCCATCTGGAGCTGCTCAGAGGGGGGTTGCAGCATGCACTGGCCAGAGGGTTATACATTAAACAAGGTCCAAACTGCTGACCAAGCAGACAGGTACATGAGGTCTCTGGAGGGGCAGGGCACATCTAACTGATCATTCCTCTGTGCAGATAAGGTAATCAAAGAAAGAAAGATGTTGTTCTCCAGTGAGAAGGACTATGACAAGATCCAGAAGAAGAAACACCTGGATTTTCTGGACATTCTTCTTTGTACCAAGGTGATTGTTTGCAATAATCATATCAAATGCCAAACACCATACCCGTGTGGCACTGAGGATGCACCAGTCCTGGCTGGAGGTGCTGGCCACAGCTTCTCCATTTGGGAAGGAACACAGATGTGTAAGATGAAGAACATAAACAGCTTGGGCAGGCTTTCACCTTTCTTGTTCATTTTAATTAAGCACACTGATAGTTCCACATAAGTGAGCTGTCAGAAAGCACAGAAGAATGAGACCTTTGGAAACATTACAAGGTGTCCAGCTTGGCTGTACTCCTCTCAAGTGATTTCATTTATTACCTTCTGTAGTTTTACCTTTGCAGACATCTTCAGATACTCTGTACAGAAGCTGCCATTTGGTGCACGGCGTGGAGACACGTTCTCTGTGTGCTTGCTCTGTCTTGCTGGAGACACTGCTTTCTTTTCTTCTCAATCTGAAACAAAAGTCATCCAAACATACCTACTGAAAAACTTAACAGGGACCCTTGGTAGGAGAACAAATAGAGCCTTTAATAGACCTCAGTAGAGCCCTTCCTTCTGAAGGGCTGGGAACTGGTATCACCCCAAAGCCCAGCTCTGTAACTCTGTTGACAGCAGAGTCAGCAACCAGCAGGTCTGACTGTTCTCACATATATTGGATATATTTTCTACTAGATTACTTCCTGATATACAGGGAGATACAAAAGACACCAAACTGGGCCCTTCATCATCATCCAGGGTTATTTTTAAATCCAAAGAAACAAGTCCAATTAATGTGTGCTTAAGGATGATGTACTCTCCTCTTTGTTAGGATGCAAATGGAGTTGGGCTATCTGATGAAGACCTGCGGGCTGAGGTGGACACGTTCATGTTTGAGGGTCATGATACCACAGCCAGTGGGATCTGCTGGCTCTTGTACTGCATGTCATTATATCCAGAGTACCAGCAACGGTGCAGGGAGGAGATCCGGGGAATCTTGGGAGACCGAGATACTGTTGAGTGGTGAGCTAGGACTTCTTATTCCTTTATTTCAAATTATTTTCACTTATCCTTTAAGGACTTTGTCACAGTTGCCTCACAACATCCTTCTCTCTATATAGGACAGATACAGATTTGATGGGTGGACTGTTTCGTGGATGAGGAATCAATGGATGGCAGCATCCAAAGGGTAGTGGTCAATGGCTCAGTGTCCAGGTGGAGATCAGTGATGAGTGGTGTCCCTCAGGGGCCTGTATCTGGACCAGTACTGTTTAATGTATTCATCAATGACATAGTGTGTATTTGAGTGCACCTTCAGCAAGTTTGCAGACAACAGAGCCAAGTGGTGCATTTGACGCATTTGACTAAATGACCTTTAAATGTTCCTTCCAATCCAAACTATTCTATGATTCTAAGAATGAAACTCCATCCACCTTATACTGCATCTACACTGGGGCACTTTGCTTTTCACACAGCAATGCTAGCAGCAAAGGAAGGGCTAGGAGAAGGAGAAATCCCAACAAGAGAAGGAAGACATGGCAGTCCAATGCACCCAGTGTGCAGCACAGGCTGTGGCTGCTGCTGTCCCCATTGCTGTCACTCAAACACAGCCTGACCCAGGTTTGCTTTCAGGGAGGACCTCGGGAAGATGAATTACATCACGATGTGCGTCAAAGAGAGCTTGCGCCTGTTCCCACCGGTTCCTTCTGTGTCCCGACGCCTGCATAAACCTGTCACGTTTCCTGATGGACGCAGCTTGCCAGCAGGTCTGTTGGGCTCATTCATCCTTCATGCTGCTGCCAGCTGCGAGTGAGGCATCATCACTTGAGCCCAAGGAGGGACAGCATCCCACAAACACCTCTCTTGGGTTTTCACTCTGAGGTGTTGCAAGCCTTTTCTCACTTCTCTTTTCCAGGCTGCCAGGTTGCACTGAACATATTTGCTATTCACAGGAACCGGGATGTGTGGGAGGACCCCGAGGTATTTCACCTTTGTTATAATAACAAGAATATCTCAGCCCAAACATCCTCTCCCCTTGAACAAGGCAGCCTGTGCCTCCCATGTTTGGGTGTTTTTTCCCCCTCTTATTCTGACATTCCATATTTAAATGCAAAGTGCAATGAAGTTACCAGACACCCCACAGGCTTTGAACAAGACAAAGTGCCAGGAAAGGGAGTTGAATAGTCTACCTTCATGGGTATCACAAGGGGTAATGGGTTAAAACTTAAACAGGGGAAGTTTAGATTGGATATAAGGAGGAAATTCTTTCCTGTTAGGGTGGTGAGGCACTGGAATAGGTTGCCCAAGGAGGTTGTGAATGCTCCATCCCTGGCAGTGTTCAAGGCCAGGTTGGACGAGGCCTTGGGTGATATGGTTTAGAGCGAGGTGTCCCTGCTCATGGCAGGGGGGTTGGAACTTGACGATCTTAAGGTCCTTTCCAACCCTAACTATTCTATGATTCTATGTGTAGTGACACAGAGATACTTGGACTGCTTTCCACTGCCCTGAATAGACTTAGGTCCCTTAGACTTTAGTGTACGAGAGGTGCCAAGCCCTCCAGGCAGTGGGTGATTCGAAGCTGGTATCTTAGTATTCAGGGAAAGAAAGAGCTGGGAAACCCAAAGGAAGGTCTACAGCTGCCTCTGCCCAGTGGCTGCCTGGAGAGCCAGGTTCAGCTATCTTCGGACCAGAGAGAGTCTGACTTGATGATGGCTGCCATGGATGAGAAAACACCTTCAGGCATCTTGGGCACTGTAGAGGGTGATTGGGATATCTCCACGGGGAAAACTGGTACAGGTAGCAGCACTCCACTCTCATCCACCCAGTGGCTTTGTAGGGAGATGCCTGTGAGCTGCACCCCCCCCCAGGGACAGCAGAAACCACATCCAAGCCTACCGTGGGGACTGGGGGAGATCCTGGTGCTGCCCATACCAAACCAAACCTTGACCTCATGGCCTCTGTTGCTCCCACAGGTCTATGATCCCCTGAGGTTTTCTCCAGAGAACTCAGCACAGAGGCATTCCCATGCTTTCCTCCCTTTCTCTGCTGGATCCAGGTGGGAGATCCTTCCTCTCTTTTCTTCTTTGTAGGTTGCCTTACATGGTAGATCTAGCTCAGAGCGGAGCTCCTCAAGCTAATCCTCCCTCTGTGTCCTTGAGCCAAGCTGGCTTGGCCAACTCAAGCAGGCTTTCTGTAACCAGATCTCCACCATGCTCCATCAGCTCCAGAGTGTTCCCTACACCCCAAGCTCTGTGGTCACCATAGGATTCCACACACTTTTCATGTGGATTTTCAGAGGTGTTTATATTTCTGTTGCCTGCATTGGCAACACAGGCTCCCTTGCTTAGGGCTGAACACCCACTGTGCCTCAAAGCCCAGCTGGGTCCAAATCTGTGGTTTCCATGCTCTATCAACATGCAGGATACTGAAGTCTCAGTAACTTGCAGAAGATACTCACAGAGCCAAAACCAGTCTTCCTGAGGTGTCTGGGTTTTCAGCTGGATCCATGCAGCCCTTTCCAGTGAATTAGGCCCCAGCTTTCTTAATCTCATTTATTTTCCCAATGCTCATTGAAACAACAACGCTCCACCACAGTGCTAGGTGTGTTATGTTATGGCATCAGGGGATTCCTAGATAAGCTGTGCCATCATCTATGCAACAGCTGGAGGTTTCCCACTGCCCGGCTCAGGGGCACTTGGGGATGAAGGCAGCAAGCAGAGCATTTGTTCTCCTCTCCCCAGGAACTGCATCGGGCAGCAGTTTGCCATGAATGAGATTAAGGTGGCGCTGGCCCTGACCCTGCTCCGCTTTGAGCTCTGCCCTGACCCATCCAACCCTCCCACACTGACACCGCAGATCATCCTCAGGTCCAGCAGTGGGGTCCATGTGCATCTGAAGAAGATCCACTGATCCCCTGAGGTACCCCAGCATGGGTCAAGACCTATCCCAAGGACCACCCTTTATCCAGACGGGAACACCAACCAGACTCACCCTGGCCACCTCAGACCTCTCCCACATTAACCTCCTGCTGCTGTCCAGGGGGGCACACTGAGCCCTTTCATACACACACTGAACCCAGCAGGTCCAGGTCCCCTCCTTGCACCAGGAATAGCACTGCCAAGTGGGTTTCAGAGCACAGCTATGGCTCAAGCTTCATCTCCATGGGCATCCTCCATGTCCTGCTCATCTCCTCACACACTGCCTGATGGCACCTCTGTCACCCTCATGTCTATATGCATTGTTACCAGTTCCCTGCTTGGGCATGACAATGAAACCAGCAAGGGTTGTATGGCTGTCTAAAGCCTGAACACTGTCCCAGCACAATATCCCTCTCCTACCCACAGCAGGATAACTCCTCCCCACAGCCACTCTGCATCCCCATGCACCACCCTCCACATTATCCCCCTAATCCCTGCTGGGGTTGGCACTGTGCCTGCCGCTACGGAGACAAAAGCCAACGGGTTTTTCTGCCCTGGCGCTGAACTTCCTTGTGCTGAGGGTGCTCAGGAACCAGCGCAGGGACGTGTCACCAGCTAACGTGGAGACACAACCCTCCACGCTGAAAACAAACCATGATCAGCCTTGTTCTCCTCTCTGAAACGTGAATACAGCCTTGTAGAGATGCTCCCAAAGCGTGGCTTTCTTTGGCTTTGCATTTGGGGGGGCAACGGGGTACAGGATGAGTCCCAGCAGCCCAGAGGCAAGGCTGTGCCCGAGGGTGCAGCCCTGAGAGTGTTTTCTCAAGCCACAAAGGCTGTTTCAGTGGGTTTGCCCCTCGGGAGCCCAAGGAGCCTGTTTCCACCCCTCCCATGCCATGGGTCACCAAGCCCCTAGCTCTACCTCTGGGAATTTCTGTGGTAAGGAAACGACTGAAACGATCCGGGGTCAAACACAGAAAACAAAGTCACCATCCTCGAAGTGCTGGTGGCAAGAACAAACTCAGCTTGCAAGAAAACCCTGAAGGTCCCAATAGTGAACATGAGTCTCAAGCCCTTTTCTGCAGAGGCTGAGACCTGACTGCTCAGTACACGAGTGAGCTGCCCAAGGGGTGCGGGTGGGTGCTGACCCTGAGGCCAGGCTTGTTTTAGGGATGCAGGGACCCCCATAGGCCCTCATCCCAGCACTGTCCATAGATAGGCTCTGGGGCTAAGGGGACCCATCTGGGTGAGCTGCAGGTCCAGGGTGGGAAATGGGTCACTAGGTGGCAGTGGGAGACCCAGAAAACCACGGTGTCCTCCTTCATCCCTGGCAGACCCCCTGGGCTTGGCAGGGAGCATGGCCAGGCCCAGCAGGGCAGCTGATGGATGCCATCCCAGGGGTCATCCCGGTCCCCATTCCCATCCGCAGCTGCGTCGCACAGCGGAGGAGGCTGCTCCATCACAGTCCCCAGCATGAAGGTGGTGTTGCCCATAGCACAGGGAAAGCTTGTCACTGCAAGTGTTGGGCACTCAGCGGGCATTAGGGGAAACTGAGGCATGGAGGACCTCACACATGCCATGCCACAGAAACAAGCTGTCTGTCCAGCTTCTGCCCAGCATCATCAGCATTACTGCAAGCACTGACATAGCCAAACCATGTCCATTCCTCTGGGCAGCTCACTTCTGCTGATGGCCAGACCAGGACAGCCAAACCTGAGCATGTCCCCATCTGGATAAAGCCCTGCAGCCCCCTGCCTCCCATTTCCAATACCTGCTGCATCCTCAGTTTGAGAAACAAAACCCTTCTAGGGCTGGATCCAGACCTCCATTTGGCTAACAGGTACCTAATGGGACAGGGATGCTGTGAATAACCAGCAAGGTGCACACTGCATGTATTTTGCAAGGCAGCTGGAGACTGAGTTCCTTTTCTCCCTTTTTCACCCTCAGGAAGGGACTGGATTCAGGTTGTGTAGGTGCCAATGCCATCATCCTTGCACTGCTGGTGGACTCAGACTGGTCTCAAACGTTCTCTGCCTCCTGGGTTCCAGCACAGCAACTGGAAGGCAGCATTTTGATAGCAGCTTTTCATTATTGGCCCTATTTGTCAGACCTTTCAGCCACCCGTCTAGGAACAGCAAGCCACCTTGCAGCTCTGCTCATCCCAGGCTGTCTCCTTGGTGGTGGGGTTCAAAGGAAGCTAGGTGGCACTTGAAGATGCCCCTACAGCATCTTCTGGCTTGGGCATGATGGGATAAGGCCAGAGCAGGGGAAGTTAGAGCTGATGAGGACCCACAGCTGCTGCCTATACCTGTATGTGTACAGTGCTCTTCTTGGCCTCCCAACCCTGTGCTTTGAGGCCATCACCCTATTTGCTGCCATGACCAAGGCTGCTTGTTTGGTTTCCAAGTGTTCGGACTGTTATGAATGGCCAAACCCCAACTACTTTCAGCAGAGACCTTCCCCAGGGAAACTGCTCTGGGAAACCTGCTTGGGAAAGAGGGAAGAAACTACCACCATTTTTTATGGAAAAAAAAAAATATTGGATCATTATTGAACAGTTCTGACAATAATTGAGTCAACCTGAGCCAAGCACTTTAAAGTCCCTCCCCATTAAGAATCACACTCTAACCCAGATGTGCAGCTTGAAGGAGCAAAGCTTTGGGGAAAGATCTCACAGCACCGATGCATCATGAAGCCATAATGCAGCAGCAGCTGCCAGGAGAAAATTCTTATGCTTTTCAGCTTATCCAGGTCAAACCGGGCAACCCAAACATCCCCCCTGCCTTCAGACGCTGGCAGTTTCTGGACAGCAGCGTGTACAAGATAACCTCCTCTGCCAAGCCGCCACTAAACAGCTTTGAGAGCAGCAAAAGCAGCACAAGGAGCCGGGCAGCACCCGGTGACACAGATCTAATCACCCCACCATTTACCCCAAACGTCTCTCTGCCAGGCAGTGACATTTCTGCGCTGTCTCAGCTCTCTCCCTCCATCACCATGGTTACAGCAGCCGCCAATCCACAGGCGAGTCCTTCCCGGGTACCACCAAGCCCTTTGGGAGATGCTGCGAGAGCCAGCCCCTTTGGCAGGGAGACACTTCGGGGACCCCGGGACAGCCCAGAGCACCAAAATTTCCCCTTTTTTCTTCTTTCCCTCCTCCTTTATTATTTTCTCTTTTTCTCCTTTTTTTGAAGCACAAACAATGGAGCTAAAAGGTTGGGTATCAGGCCGATAATCATGAATGACGTGTCGTTATTACACACCACACATTCATTATCTCCCACTCCAGCCATGTCACAGGCGGCTGGAGGAGGGCAGATAACGGGGTGCCTTCATGCAGATGGCTTATTATCAGGATGTTCCAGGAGGGGCTTTAAGACAGTTAGTGATGCTGTTTGCCAGTTAAAGATTAGAGACCCCAGAGAATAATTAACAATCCCAAACCCCAGTTTTTCTGCTGGATTCTTCTGCTTTCTCCCCCCTCCCCATCCTCTTTAATCTATTCACTCTAGCAGGTGTAATAAAGCGATAAGGACAGGCTCCAGGGATGTTTGTTTGGCTACTACGGGTGTATAAACCAACAATGGATGGTATTTTACTTCTGGCTTTCAGTGCCTTGAATCAAGACCAAAAACTTTGCAGCCCCCTTGCCCACACACAGACACCCCTACATGCCACATTCCCGGCTCCCACGTGGGTGACCAGGCTCTTTCCCCAGCCCAACGGATTACAACGGTGGGACAGGCTCCCTTTCTGCTTCTGGAGGACCAAATCGCATCACTTGGGTGTCAAGGTGCCCAATGCCAGGTACAATGCTCAGGGCCAGCAGCCATTTACCTCCATACAGCAAGTCTCTAACTAAGCCACCTTGGCATAATTTGTATGGTAGGTATCCACCTGCTCAAGCTGCTCCAGGGCTGTGGTCACAGCTGAAACATCTTAAACATCCATCCCTTAAGTGCCTCAGGAGAGATCAGGGGAGCGTTAGAGTACAGGTGGCTTTCAACAAGGTGTCCTGTTATCAAGGGATCTGAGAGACAACTTTCACCTTCATAGGCCACAAAGGAAAGCTGTGACACATCTCATAATGAGGCAGCAGTGCAAAAAGACCATTCTGAATGTCCTCTGCCCAAGAGGAGACTGTCCTGTTCACAGCAGATCCCAACCCTAAATGTATTCCTGAAGCCCAAGCTCCAGAGATACTGACATTACGGAGTAGAGTGTAGGATAGGGTACCTATGGGTGTCCTTCCCCTTGATTGGTGAGCATTGGGGTGACTTGTGGAGGACACAGTCACCTCCTATGCTGTGTGGACAGAGGCACTGAGGAGGATTTAGCCCCCAGGCAATTTGGCTCAGGGGCCTTTGGAGAGGTCACCAAGGCTATTGGAGTTGCCCATCATCCAGAAGCTATCAGGATGCTCTGGAGGGCATCCCCCCGCTTGCAGGGTCAATGTGGCAGGCGCAAGTGCTGGCATGCCAGAAGTTGCCTTCCTGATCACGCTCACCCTGCTAGGGAGGGATGAGACAGCATTGTGCTTTAAAGAGCATCCCCAACCCTATCAGCAAGAGATGAGATATCCTAATTATGGCAGAACAGGCTAGGATCCGGGCCGTATCAGCCAGCACAGAAAGGTAAACAAGAAATATAACAATGGACCCTTAACACTCATTAGCTGTGTCAGATAATACCTCACTTTTCTCCCTTTGGGCTTCAAATCTAATTAAGATTTTCCAACAATAAATTTCATTTATGCTCGCTCCCTTTTGTTCTTTTTAGGTTCACACCAAGCAGCATCTACGAGCCTGCTGCATGGCTCGCGGGAAGGCAGCCTGCTTCGTACAGTCAACCTCAGGTTGTGCTTGACAGACAAGGGAAACTGAGGCAGGACTGCGTGGAGGGGAGATCCCACCATGGAACAACACAGTGGCTCTTGCAAAAGGTGTCCCCTGGAAAGTAAACTCTGAAGGGCACTGGTACAGTGAAGCCCCATCCTTCTCCTTGCTTGGACCTATGACCATGGAAGGGATCCACTGGGAAAAGAGACCCTGAGACCCATTGAGCACACCTCCACTCCAAACCCACATCCAGTGGAACAGCCCAGACATTCATTACACATTCAGGGTGTGCACACGGCAGGGAATAAACTCCCGTTGTTACTCATTATAAGGATGCCGTTTCTAACTCCTTTTGCAACCAAGAGGTAAAAATTAATGGGTTCCCCTCCTCTCGCCACACCCCCAGCCCGAGTGCTGATGCAGCAGCAGCACACAATGACTAATCCTCCTTAAACCCTGCTGAGCAAAGCTGAACTCTAAGGAGCTTGTTTTTTCCAAACCCTCATCCTGTTGGCACCTGCGAGAGGAAAATCAGGGAGCAGCATCCATCAGGGATGCAAGTGGGGAGGTCCAGGACCCGGCCTGGGGCTGGCTCAGCCTCCCCAAGGGAAGGTGGTAGAAGGGTAGAAGCTCTCATGTGATGCTGGGGACAGCAGCCTCCCTGCCTTGACCCCTCCAACCCTTCTGCCTGTTTTCTTCTACCCCCATGCAATTTCTCAACTGGAGCTGTGATTTCTCAATGCTGAGCTTGAAGGTGCTTTCGAAACGCTTACCTACATGAGGTTCTTTGGGGAGATGCCTTCCTGGGTGGGTCTGTTACAGGAAGGCTCCTGGATTATTTCCATGCCTGAATTTTTGTGTCACCACCTATTAGGGACATCAACAGCTTTCCCTGTGGGAAGTGAGAAGTGGCTCTTGGTGAGTGGTAGCACCAGGATCCAGCTCCTTACTCCATCGCAGAGGGATCCCAGCAGTGGGAAGGGGCCTGAGCTCCCCAGCAGGACTGTTGCATCTTCACTTCAGGGAATACCCACCAGGTTTCAGCGCTGTAGGAGAGCAGGGTGTTTTACTGCACCATGTGGAAAGTGTAGGGAAGAAGAAGCATGCTCCCTCCACCATGCTGGGCAGCACCTTCTCCAGCATGGGCTTGGGCTTTTAAGGTCACTGGCAATGCAGAGAATAGCCCTTGCAGCAGGAAAGCTCCTTCAGGACTGAAAACCACAGAGCAGGAGCTGTGCTAGTGAGAGGCAAAGAGGTACTTTCAGCCCCAACACCCTCCCTGCCTGTTTCTGGCACTGCTGCCTGCAAATGGGTCTGCAAAGCACCCCCTGCACAGGGGCCACGGCTCCTCCCAGATCCAAACCCATCACAGCCGCTGTTTCAGAGCAGGTCTAACACCTCTCTATGCCTCGGTACCCGAAAGAGAAAGCAAGAGATAGCTCCCCCCACCTCCTCCTCCTCCTTTGTGTTTGCACAGCCCCAAAACCACCCAGTTCCCCCCCAAACCCAGAGGCTGCCAAAAATGCCCCTTTTATAAACCTCCATCCCATCCATCCCAATCCTGCTCTACCTGCAGCCCCTGCACTGTCCTTGATTGCAAAGCCCCTTATCGCTTTCCTTGTTGTTCAAGGGGAGGACCCTGCACACCACTTGGGCAACTGGTGTCTCAGGGAAGGCCAAGGCATTACAGGGCTCTCACTTCAACCTGCAAACACTGTGGCATGGGAGCACTCATTGCTCCCATGGTGGCCTCAGCACTGTCCCCACACAGCAAAACATGGAGCCTGGTTAATGAACAGCCTGGGAGGAGCTGGCTGCACCATGTCCAGCAGCCCATGAGAGAACCAGCACTGTCCATAGCAGTCCCCAGCCACATCCTGGCAACAGCAGTGATTGCCATTCACAGCCATGGGAATGGTCCCCAGGAATGGCTGTAAGCCTGTGCCCTATGGCTGGTGGGATTAAGGGATTATTGGTTTTCACCTGCTAAGCAGCACTGGGCAGTGCTGGATTGGTGCCGTGCCTCAGTTTCCCCACCTGGCAAATGGAGGGGATGATGCTCACCCCCCTATATGGTCCTTTGTGGCTCTGGGGAGGTCCAAATCCTGAGCGAGAAAAATGTTCCACTTTTTTCTTTTCCCTCCTGATACACAGACACACAGAGAATTGCTCTTGGCTTCATCCAAGTGAGGAAATAAGAGATGGAGCCTACTTGGGAGGGATCATAGACAAAGATGTGGATGCTGACCCTTAAAGCATCCTCCCAACCCCCAGAACATTGCCTTCCCTCACACCACCTTCCCCAGTGTCCTTACCTTCCCAAACTGCCCTGAAGGCTGGGAGTGCCTTCAGATGAGATGCCACAAAGTCCTTTGGGTGATTAGCAAAACAACCCTATTTGCTGTCCTGTGGGCAACAATTCTCTTTATTGTTCACAGGGAAGATATATACAGGGGAGAAGGTTTGTTCTGACATTCAAATGCATGGTGTAGGGCCCTAAAAAGGAGGGTGAAAGGGGGAAAAGAGACCAAGTTTTGCATCAGCAGCTCCCTGGAGGGCAGCTGGGAGGTCCCAGGCACCCAGCAAGACCTCTCCATGTCTGGAGCAGCTCAGTACCCCTTTGGGACCAGGGACATCAACATCACTAACCATGTGTGGTAACTGCCCAGCAGGAGAGGTGGCACCTCAGGCCTCTCCTGGGGACCAATGTCCATGTGGACACCAGCCCCTGGGGAAGAAGAGCACGTTCTGTGGGTGGGAAGGGAAAAGATCAAGAGATGATGATGCTGTGGAGAGGTTGGGAGCAACACACACGTATGGGGGATGCCAGTGCAGAGGGTCCCTGCGAAATGCCCATCGTGACAGCAGGAAGCAAAGTGAGGGGAGGAAGGAGCATGGCCAGCCAGGGCAGATGCTACATGGCAGTGGTGATCACCCTCTCCTCGGGCTCCACCTTGTTCTCATAGGCATGCTGGCTCTCTTTGGACCTGTGTTGGAAGGAGAAGCAACAGCGCTTAGCTCACTGAAACAAGACCAGCATCCCTGAAGCCACCATCAGCAGTCATGACCTTGCTGGTGCTGACCACGCATTGAGCAGGGTTAAGGTGGGAAGGCAGGAGGGGAGCCAAGCACAGGGTGGGAATTGCTGTGATTTCTAGTAGGGGCTATTTTGGCAGTCAACACCTGCATGGTGACCTATGGCCACTTTTGGTGGTTTCCGCTGTTTGAAAAGCATGATGTAGGGTAAGAAAAATGCAGTGTAACAGGTTGCATGGTGGTGGATGGGCCATGGGGCTAAGCTGCAGGGACAGGAGAGACTGAGGGTACTCCCTCATTGGCTTCTCCTTAGTCCCCAGAGAGGATAAAAGCCCCACAAATCAAGTGGATGGAGCACGTGAGACCCTGAGCTGTCCCTGGAGTGGTGGAACAGAGCCTGAGAGCCATGGGGAGGACACCTGAGCAAGTTCACCTGAAGCCAGCCGCAGCACCTATGTATTTCCCTTCGTGGCCATTGGACATGACAGGATCCAGCTTGTCCTCAACGCTTACCACCCTCTCGACGTTTTCCCTGGAGGGAGAGAAGAGGGGAGCTGAGATAGAGCAATGGAGGGGCTGCACAGGGGAGCAGCTCACAATGGTGATGGAAGAGAGGAAGGGACTGCTCCAACACAAGAGGATAAGGGACCTGGATGCTTGATCCTGCCTTGAACACCCAGCTCAGCCCCTTTCCCAGTAGGATATGGGCAAGCAGAGATGCCCTCATGGCAGGTTTGCAGGGGCCATTCCAGATGCTGAGTGCCAGCCCCTGTCTCTGGAGCTGGTGCCCAGCACTGGGCCATCAGTCAGCAAACCTCATTTGTCAATACATGGGATTGTTTTGTCCCACTAACTGGTTTTTCCAGTCTTCTTCTATGTAATCTGTTGCAAAATAGTCCCAGACAGGCCCCAACTGAGGGAAATGCTGAGGTTCTGCCAGTGTCACAGTGCACGCCCATGCATACAAAGCCAAGCTGCCTTCTTTCAGATGCGACTATGGATCGCTCACAGAAGGAATCATGGGGCAGGGACTGGGTGTTTAACCTCAGCCAGAGCCTAAAAGCTGACCTCTGGAGCAAGCTAAATGGTGCTGGGGCAGTTGATCAGAGGGTGGGCACAGGTCCACCCCATGTGCACATCCCTGCTTCCTCAGCCCTTGCCCAAAGCTGGTTCCAGAGGTATTTCCTAGGAACAAGCAGGGCCTTGAGCTGATAGCGACTGTCACAGTGACAGCAAGGAGCTGGCAGTGCTCCAGGCTGCTGAGCCTCGCTGTCAGCTCTTCTGAAGAGGCCAGGTTAATTAAAACAAGCTGCTGTGCCCCCTCAAGCCCTCCTCAGCATCCTCTGCCTATGGGCTGGGAAGAGGCAGATGGGCACAGGCAGAGGTGGGAAACACTATCCCACTGTCCCCATCTCCCACTTCATGGGCTGCAAACTCCTCCACTCTGGGGACAAAGATTCTGCTTTGGAAAAGATGCAGCTGCAAATCAGACCATGGAAAAAAAAATGTATATATATATTTTTTTTTTCAACGTATATTTATATATAATGTATAATTGTACCTATACAATGCATAATGCAGTGTGTGTGTGTTTATATGGACATACACTGCATTCTGCATTGGCCCTGAATGCATCCCAAGGGCTCCTTTTAAATGCATCTGGGACAGAAGCCAACCTGCTGAGCATTGGGATACACCCCAAGTCCCCACTTCCTTGACCTGGGGAGGCTGCAGAGATGTGCAGATACAAGAAGACTCCATCACCTTTGGGTGCAAAGCCCAAAGTGCCTGTGCTGGGGCAGAGGTACTGGGAACCTGGCTATGGGGTCAGGACTTCACCCCCTTTTTGACTTTGGGCTCAGATTCAAGACCAAGTTGCTGCAGCTTAGCCTGGGTCAGCTGAGCAGCAACAGCAGCAAAGCAGTGGCTTTGCTTGGCTGGCAGCAGGAAAGAGGTAGTTGGTCCCAGAGAGCCCTTTTTCTGATGAATAGGGCCACCTCGTTTGTGCTGTGGGCTCTGGGTGAAGGGCACTGCCACAGCTTGGCTACCTCCCTCTTGTCCCAGCTTCTCTGGGTGCCTTCTAACAACTTGGCTCAGTTTGCTTTGCAAATGAAGCTTCTGGGGGCTTGTTTTCCCATGGATATTATATGGGAATATATTGGGGGGCATCTGTGAACTGGCCCCCCAAATCCATAGGAAATCAGGCTCCGGCCTGCCCCAGGACACACATGCCCATGTAAACCATGCATCTTTCTCACACAGCTTGCTCCTGGCAATGAGTAACAGGGAGCATAGGCCAGGAAGGGGAGAAAAGGACAGAGAGAGCAGGACAGGGAGTCGTTGTCCTCCCCATCCAGCTCCCAGGGCAGTGATCACGGTGTTCCCACCGCTGGCATGAGGACGGAGGCAGATGGAAGTGACCCATGCAGAGG